ATCGATATTTGAGGTGGAATTTCATGGTAATGAAGGGATATTCAAAATTGGCGAGAAAAGCGGAGACGATGGAGAAGGACTACGAAGAGATGGAAGATTTTGAAAGAAACTAAGAAAATCGCGGCAACTAAGTAAAGGCGGCATCGGAGAACGAGTTAAGTCAAGTTGAAGGAAGTAGTGTCAGAAGTGGAGACATGTCTAACAGTAGGTGGAGGTAAATGAGCGATAACAAAGACTAAGCGAATTCAGTCCACAGCAGGAGGTCCGAAGGGGAAGAAACGGAAGAGTTTGCAGATAACGGACAAACGCACATGAGGTGACAGGGAGGTGGAAGCAGAGGTCAGCAGAGATCAGAGGAGGAAGCAAAGGTGTAGCGGCTGTTGCAAAAAGTATAACAGGGTACAGGAATTTTAATGCAGACCCACCGTAAATATTTTTGAAGTAATATTTTTGTTATGTAGTGAAATAAAATATACGAATATATTCACAATGGGAATATTCTTTTAGACCTGATGAAATGTACATGAAGTAATTATTTTGAATAAATTGAGTCAAATCACAAAATGTTGGCTGAAGGAGGGTTTGGCCCCAGTGTCCCCTGGATCAGCCGCTGCAAAGGTGGCGGTGAATAGGAAGGGAACCGACGCTACCTCCTGAAAGTCAGGTGCGGGAGCGCGAGACACAACAAAGCACAGCAGAGGAAGTGGTTTGACATCAAGAACACCGAGTCTACGGTGGGGCGGCATACCACCTGTCATCAAAGGTCTGGAAAGCCGAGCCCGAAAGGCAGAACCTGACAATTCTACAGCCTTATTAAAATAAGAATAGGATTTGATCACTCGCGCCATCAAAATACAGAAATACACTATTTTGTAAATAACAAAAATTAGAAATGCAATAGATTATGTAAGAAATAAAAGTCTGTGAAATTCCAAAGGTTATTTTGTATATTTAGCTAAAATTAAGTGTAAGATGAAAAATTAATTATCCAAGTATCTTTACACTCAAAATGTGTAATATTAAGCAGTAAATAAATTTGGACATTTGTACAGTAATCAAATGATAACAAATAAGATATTAGATTGAATACGCCGGAGAGATCTGCTGTTCTTTCTCGGAAAGAAATAAACGAGATCTAAATATGGTAAAAACAACTATTGTCTAGCGTACTGTAATATACCACTGTTTAAATGAGAAGGTTTCACAACAATGGATTTTGAGCCTGCATAACGTAACACCTATTGACATAAGTGTACTCTTTTCGTATTAATGATCTCTCTCGAATTGCAGTCTCTTTGGCATTTAATGAAGATCGACATCACGAATCCTTCATCATTCCGTCATTATCATTCCTTCAGCATCCAGCGCGGATACATTGACATCAATTGGAGGTTAACCTAAGGATCTGCTTTCTGTTTGTACACTTCAATTTTCAATAGGCTATATCAATATCACATTTTTTATACACAGAGCTTCTATCGTTCAAGACCAGCAATTCGATATTTATTAAGAAAGATATCATTAATCTACGGATGCCTTTGTGCAACGGACCGTGTTTTATTGAGTCAGCAACAAGAAGCAGAATCGCATAACTGCTGAGCAATGATGAATCTTGTTTATCTGAAATAGGCATTTTTGTTTATTAGACACTTCCTAGGATTGCTAGTGTTATGCAATAATTTCTCAACAAAATATACTAGATAAGAATAATCAGTTTGTTTTCTGTGCGGCATTACGGAAGAACTGACTTGTCAAAGATGCCAAGATTTCATTTTCACTTTCAAATGAGGTAAGCAGATATGCCTGTATTCAACAGCGATGTCAGGAACATATGTTCAGAAGGTACAGAAGGTACATGTGGTACAGAAGACAACTTTCTTTGCTTTTTAAAACTATGCCTTTCAATGATGATTCTGTAGTTCTGAACATTATTTCGCTTTTTTTACAGTATAAGGAAGCAATGCTTCGCCTCGATACTGCATGGATGTATTAAATTAATGAACCTACACCATTTCCGGGAAATGCACACGGGCAATTACCTCGCGTTCAGACGCTTCTGGAGAACAGGTTGACATCTGGTCGTTAGCCACGCGTGATATATGGCTTTCTAATTACATGCACTTCAAGACTTTTTTCATTTTCAATTTATTAATTTACTCTATCATTTATCTCAATAGATCAAAACTTCGTAGTTTCCACACGTGAGACACATTCAAGTGAATCGCGAAATGAATGTTATTACGTGACGCGGTAAATATAACTTAAGAATGAAATAGAAAATATTTTCAAAAATTGTCCTTCATCGTGTAATTTGCATCGCATGTAGTTTCTGTTTTATGTGTAACTACATATTGAACACCTTTGTCAGAATTACACAATTTATGTCCATTTATGCAACAATCTTACAATACCGAATGCAAAGAACCTCCATTGCAGTAGTAATTTTTAAAAAATATTTATGGCCACTTTTCAACTGCTCTCGTTATGAGTGAACTTTAAAAGGAATTATGTTGTGTTTCTTGAGAAACAACTAAAGGGTGGCTTATTCATGGTATGGATTTACATTCACTACGTAATAAACTCTATTCCGAGTATCTGTACTACGATGCGAAAAATAAGAGGCTTCACAAAAAACAAAGAAATTGAAATATTTGTAAGCTCTTTGTTTTCTATTACAAATAAAATTTTTGTTGTTTTTTTTAATTACGAGGAAATAAATGCAGTTTTTTCGCAATCATTTCATAGGTGATTTTATGCCGAAATACTTCCGGAAACCAAAGCCTTCTCGCCCACGGTGGAGCTCCCTGTGGCTATTACGAATATTAACCGCGTGAAGTCCGAAGTGATCCTTCATGGTTATTCACATAGCCTTATTCTCACAGTTTGACTAACATGCACTTTAATCAGGCACGAAATAGATTAGCCGTATTTTGGTCTTTATTCGCAACATGGCACTCTCTATATCCCAATGCACTTCTTGAATCCATTTCCAGAATCCTGAGATTCTGTCAATCTTTTCGCAGAAGAAGAGAAGAAGAAGGGAAAACGAAATGAAACAAAACGGTGCGATTTTTCCAAAATTCTAAAATGCATGGGTTTTTCAAAATTATAAGGTTCTGGCGAAATGTACATTCTTTAAACTGACGATACAATTTTCCTTGAGTTACTGAACTTGTGGGAAATTTAAATTTCTCTAGATATGGGGAATATGGACCAAATAATTCTGAAAACTTATTTAGCATATAATTTCGAATATTATTATTCAGAAAATGTCTCATCTCGTACTATATTAAGAAGAACAATAGATAACGATGCATCATATCGGAGTGCTCAACGGTGTAGTTGAGAATATTACGGTGTAAAGTTCGCGATTTTTGTATTATGAATTCTAACCTGTAACATATGTTCCTTGAATGATGTAGTATGTTACATCACGTTTCGCTAGAGTTTGTTTCCCGCTTTTTACTAATTTAAAACGATTTTAACTCCTGAGTAGCAGGGCCACCCCATACTGGTGACAAAAAAGACAGTGTCATATTCTTCTTTTGTATCTGCAACTACGTGATTGTCCAGAAGACGCCGCATCATAGGCACAGGTCGCTATGTTTCGGTCACCATTCTGTAACCTGCATTACGGTGATTTTCTCACAAAACTGCCTTGGACCGCAGGTACCTAGGACAGGCCGTCATCCGGACAAACAAGCCGTTACTGACTCCAGCCGCGAAAGCCTACGCTCTTCTTTTGTATCTGTTAGCTTCTTGCGGATTTTTTTCAGCCAAACTTTTTTATAACCTACGACATACCATTTTATTTGTCATTACAATTTTTTCGCTTCAGGTAATTACAGGCTGAAGGATGCGGTGGCAGCTATGAAGAGGACCGCGTGGCGCTGTGGTTTATTTTTCTGTTTTGGATCTGTAACTACATGATGTCCAGGAAACGCCACGTCCTAGACACAGGTGCCAAAGTTTCGGTCACCATTCTGCGACCTTCCTCAGGGTAACATTTCGTTCTGAGGAAGGTCGGAGAATGGCGGCGAAAACGTTGGCACCTGTGCCTAGAAAACGCGGTGTCTCTCGGATAGCGATGTCTCGCGGTGTCTCTCGGAACTTCGAGTCCTTCGGCGGATGCCCGGGCCGCGTGGCCCGGTCTTTTTTCTTTGTGTCTGTAACTACTTGGATGACCAGAAAACGACACAGGTGCCAACATTTCGGCCACCATTCTGCGTTTTTCTTCAAGGCAACGTTTCGATGTGAGGAAGATAGGACAATGTTGGCAACAAGGTTTAATTCGTGGCGACTCCCGGGCACCCAAGTTATTATTGGTTCCGACAAACTTTTTCATAACCTGTGACATTCCGTCATATTTGTCATTATACTTCTTTCGTGCCCCAGGTAATTAGGGACTGAAGGACGTGGCGACGACCATTAAGTGAGTGCGCGCGAACTCCACGTCCTTCGGCATGGACCCGGTCTGCGTAGAGCTGTGTTTTTTTTCTGGTTTGTGTCAGTAACTATTTGGATACCCAGGAAACGCCGCATCTTAGAGACAGGTGCCCAGGTTTCGGCCACCATTCTGCGACCTTCCTCAGGGCAACATTTCGATTTGAGAAAGTCGCAAAATGGCGGCCAAAACGTATGCAACAATGCATAGGACGACGTTCTCCAGAGCAGCAAAGTTGTTATTGGCTCTAGCCGCGGAAGCCTACACTCTTCTTTCGTACCCGTTAGCTTCTTGCGGATATTTTCAGCCCTTTTTTATTTTACGTGACATACGATCACAGTTGTCTTTTCTTCGCGCCGCAGATAATTATATATGTTGGTAATTATATATGCATAGGACGAAGTTCTCCAGGACAGCAAAGTTGTTATTGGCTCTAGCCGCGGAAGCCTACACTCTTCTTTCGTATCTATTAGCTTCTTGCCGATACTTTCAGCACTTTTTTTATTTTACGCGACATACCATCACATTTGTCGTTATACTTTTTTTCGGGCCGCAGGCAATTACGGTCTGAAGGACGCGGCAGCAGCCATGAAGTGGGTGCGCGCGAACATCGCGTCCTTCGGCGGCGACCCGCGCCGCGTGGCGCTGTGGGGGTACAGCGCGGGCGCGGCCTCCGTGCACCTGCTCACGCTGGCGCCGCCCGCCCGGGGCCTGTTCGACGCCGCCATCTACGGCAGCGGCTCGGGCCTGCACCGCTGGGCGCTGTTCGCGGACCCGCTGCCCACCGCGCGCCGCCTCGCCGCGCTCGTCAACTGCTCCGACGCGCTGCCCACCACCGACCTCGTGGCGTGCCTCCGCACGCGCTCGGCCGAGGACATCGTCGGGACGTACTACAGGTAACATTGATTAGCGATTCCGGGCGCGCCAACTGCCAAGGTCATCGGTCCCGTAAGTGTGTTGCTTGGTTTTATCGCGGGGGATGGCAGCGATCTTCCCCCGCTGGGTGGCGAGATCAGGAACCGATCTACTCGTCTGCTCGCTGGGTTTTCCTCAACCAGGTATCTCCCACCAGCGTGGCACCACCACAAGCTCTGCGACAAGAACCGAGTGATCTCCCAACAAAAGATATAGTGTAGTGAATGTGAGTGCAAGTGTAAGTAAGGGAGCAGGATAGGAAATGGAAGAGGAAAGTAAGATCGTGCGCGGTGCGTGGCCCGTTTGTTAGGGTACTACTCCGCGTTTCGCCTGAGGTTGATCGGAGAGACCACGGGGAACTACCGATTAGAGCAGCCGGGCGCTAGAATTCTCCTCCAGACGGCAGCTGAATTCGATCTAGCCACCGTTAGGTCTCGAACCCTCAGGTCCGATGGGTTCGAACCTTCAGGTCCGATGCACTCCAGTGACATTGATTGATATCCTGAGCTATGTGAGCCGGTACTACAGGAACGAGAATAAATAACCATTTATTTTGTGCGTAAGTGAGTTATATTCCGTGTGCGTCAGTCATTTGCATTGTTAGTTCCGTGTTACACTCCTGGAGGTTGCTTCCCCCCGGAAACGTGACATCCGACGCCGACCTACACTACGGCTTCCGGGTTATCCACGTCAAGGTATCTTTTATAACAAAGCACCCCTGCAGCCGTGAAGAGATCTAATCTCTTGCCTTTTGTGGTAGAGTAGAGCGTGTAAATATATATCAGGGTGTAAAGAGAGGGGACGAAACAGAGATGAGGGAGAAAATATGGCGCGGGGTCTGTCCCCCGTTTGTTATGCTACTCATCGGAGAGACCACGGTAAACAACCCATGAGCGCCACTGGCTGTTAGAATCCTCTTCTACACGAAGTTGCATTCGTTCCAAATAGGTTCAAAAATCCGTCACTGTTGGGAGTCCAGGAATTATTAAAGGCCATTAAAGAAAGACATTCACGAATAAGGGAGAAAAATGAGTTAGAAATTTTAATATGCACTAGTGCGTTGGGAGGAGGGAAGGGGATAGGACTAATTGAAGAGTTAATTTACACTACCAAAATGTATTTGCTTTAAACATGTTTGAAAGACTACACACAAGAAAAGTTTCATCCAGAAAAACCAAAGATGTCCTCTAGTCCAGGTGAATGTGAGAAACTCTGGGAGTTAACATTAAGAATCAAATAGGTGTGAAATTGGACAAAATAAGAGCACAAAAGATGACAGCTCAAAATCGGCCCGGGCTGAAATGATGCCCTCGATCTTGCACTCAACTTCATTTTTCTATCGAAGGAATATTATCTCTTCGATCAGGTTTATTTGTAGGAGCCTGACTTGGCTTCGAATATACGTTAGCAAATATACAAATTTCAATCTGCACCAGCAGCTATTACATATATTAAGATGACAACGTTGCATGATTATTTTCAACAATTTTCTTTTATTTGAGAAGGTGTTGGGACAGGGTTAATGACTTATGATTTCATGGGAGTTTGCTATTATGTTTCAATTTAAACACTTGCGCTATACCCCAATGAATATTTTCCTGCAATAAGAGGAGTACACCAATTTGGCACTTTATCAAGGGTAAAATAGTATTGTGAGTTGCATGACGGCGGTGGGACAGTTCGTAATTCAGGAAACGAGTTTTTTCTTTTACCAATCACAAAGCGGTCATACCGAATTTCTTGAAATTTTCATGTAAAGGGAGATAATCATGCATATTCAACTGTTTGAAATGTCTGGAATCTTCACGGTTAGGCATTTCTCAGCATAGGTAATTAACAAAATATTTATTGTGATCAGGGATGAATTAAGTAGCTGTCCGTAGAACAATCAAAGGAGATGTTAAGATAAAAGAGTAAATAGTTTTTTTCCATTCATACGTCGTGAAGGAACGACCGGTGCAACATATCTAAGCGTTGCCAGGATGCGAAAAGAGGAATGCTTGCAAGGATTGTCTTGAATTTTGGCAAAGTGACAACGTAGTTTAATTCTCTCGCTGCACGACTTGGATCTGCAGTTCGGAGTATGCGAACTACGAGTTGAATTGGCAATAGACTTCACTCACTTCGTGAACTGCATTGGGCATTTCGTAAAAACTATTTTTGGGTACAGACGAAATAAAGCAAAATAAATGCTTACAAAGGCAGTATTGTTGTACTGGGGCGTATTTCACATTGAAATAAATAAAGAACTTTTTCCAAAAAACTTAAAAATGATTTTGTAGACATTTACGCAGTTTAACATGAATATAGAATGTTGGGAAAGACAAAAAAGTTCACAATATCCACACGTAGGTCCACCAATAAAAATTGCTGCTACGTCGATTAGATTGATAAGGTTGATATTATGTGTATTATTTTATTTTCGGTTTTATTTTCACGCAGCACAAATATCTATGGACATTTGATTGAAAGAACACAAAAATGTGTGGTCCTGGCTGAGTCCCCGTTATTTAAATTCGTTCCACTTAACCAATTTAAAATTGATTTAAATGAACTTAAAAATCAAAAAGATGCGGTACGTAAAAAATGTTTATTGCTAAGAAATGATATGTATATGAGAACTGCATGTAAACGTGAAATTAAATGCCAATATTAACGTATAATTTCGACCCATTTTCGAAAACTTTCAGAAGTGGTATGATATTATACCAGATGACATCAAAGCGTTTCAAATGGAGAGTGTACGAAGGGTCAAAATGCAAGGTACCAAAATGTGAAAACTCAAGGTTCCAGGTGTGGGGGTATTGGGATGCCATTTTTTTACTGTATTTGCGTTCACGGATTTTAGTTTGCAGCGCTTTCGAAAAATGAGAGTTCGAATTAACGAGCCCATTACATTATTGAGATTCTTGTTTCATTAGATTGCATTTCTTTACTACTCGCATTCTCTTGCATTTTATTCTCGAGATGAATAACATACGAATGTGTACAGAAAGCTGAAAAACAATGAAAACGTCAAAAAATCAATAAATTAGAATGATTATTTACGTTTTCGAGGCCCATTCTTAACAGTTGGAAATATTCGAGCTATCGTGGAACAAAATATCGAAACGTAAAATTACGAAACGCGAAATATCGACAGACGAAATAAATATCGACAAGCAAAATACCGACAGGCGAAATACCGACAGGCGAAATACCGACAGGCGAAATACCGACAGGCGAAATACCGACAGGCGAAATACCGACGCGCGAAATATCGACGCGCGAAATATCGACGCGCGAAATATCGACGCGCGAAATATCGACGCGCGAAATACCGACGCGCGAAATATCGACGCGCGAAATACCGACACGCGAAATATCAACGCGCGAAATATCGACGCGCGAAATATCGACGCGCGAAATATCGACGCGCGAAATATCGAAATGCATGGTAAGGAATTGTGAGAACTCAAAGTCCCAGGTGTGGGGGGTATGGGGATGCTAGTTGTTTTTTTTCTGTTTTTCTCTTTTTTGAGGTAACCTCGAAATGCCCGCAATGGTCCCCAAGTAATGCGCGTGCGCGTGCGTGTGGCGCAGCTTCCCGTCGCTGGTGGGCGACATGCCGATGCCGTGGGGGCCGGTGGTGGAGGGCGACCCGGCGCCGGGCGACCCGCCCTTCCTGCCCGCGCCGCCCGCGCAGCTCGTGGCCCAGGGCCGCGTGGCGCCCGTGCCCGTCGTCACGGGCATGACGACCGACGAGGCCGTGGACGCCGCCTACCCCGTGCACACCAACGCCTACCTGGCCGACCGGCTCGACCTGCACCTCCTCGACGTGCTGCGCGAGTACGCGCCCGTGCCCAACATCAGCGTCGAGGCGGCCGCCGAGGTGAGCGTAGGGCGTCACGCCATATCTTTCAATTGCCATTCCCCCGCACTCTCAACTGAATCGTTTATTTCAGATACCCGTCAAACGCCAAAATCTAAATTCTATATTAGCGGCGAATTATTGTTACAGGAGGATAGACACATCGTTTAGTGCATATTTATATGAAACATATTCATTTATTAACTGCTATAATAAATTTAAAACAATTGAAATCAGAAAAATTGAGATTGATCTCAGTTTTCTCGACATGAGGAATTTGGCTTTTGACGGTTTTCTGAAATAAATGATTCACTTTTTCTCTCTATTGCTGCTCCTTAACTCTATTTCCCTGTTCTAAAAATCATTTTTTAGTCACTTTTCCTGATCTTGTTTACTCTCTCCCTCATCTTCTTTGACCTGCTCACGCTCCGTCAGCCACTCTCTACCTGTCTTTCTTTCTTTTTCCTTTATTCCCTCATTCTCTCTTCTAAACTAAGTTCTCTATCCTTCTCTCTCGTCGATAGTTTTCTTTCTCTTTTGCTTCTGTTCCCCAAGACTTTTTTCTCTTTCTCACGTCTTGCTTTCATATTATCTCTATCTTATCTTCACTCTCTCTTAATTGTTTGATAGCCTCTCGCTTTCTATTGACCCTCTTTTGTGTTTATCTCGTCTCACAATTTCTTTCCTTCTTTCACGCTTTATATCCCAATGTCTTATTTCCCCTATATCTTTGAATTGATCCGCTTCCTTCTCCAACACATATTTTGTAAAAAATGTAATCGCATCACAGATACAACTTGTGAAACACGAAACCGATTGCAACTTAACTCTCACGTCACATGTCCGAATTTCCAAGACGTCTGAGAAACTTCCTCGAAGCACTTTTCCTGAAACAGCGTCTTGAATTACCCGATCTCTATGGATCTTGTAGCCGTTAATATTTTTTGTTTACTCCTTAAAAGTCTATCAAGACACTAAAATTCTTTACTGTTAAAAAATAATTTAAAGGTGTGAAGAAATAGATTTAGAATATAATTTAGAGAGCTGGGCTAAATAATGCAAAACAAATCAAGTAATGGTAGCTTTTCCCAAATATTAACTACTACTTAATCTTCCATAGAATCGCTTCTGGCTTTTGATATGTAGAAAGGTAAATATTTTATTCGAAAAAGCCAAATGTTAATATTTACTTTTTAGTTACAGTTTCAAATGAATTCGTAACTTGAATATGTTTCTACTCAACACGTGATCCATGAGAAGAGTCGCTAGAAATTATTATACTAACAGTAATTTAGATTTTAAGCGGGCCCTCACAATACCCGAAATTCTGGATCCGGGCCTGCTTCCGCGGTATGATACCGCAACGTGCCAATAACCAGTTCGCCCAAATTTCGGCGATGACCGCGCTGCTGAGCCAAACCGGACCGCGGAAGGCGAGGGGCGATCTAACTGGAATCGCTGTTTGCAACTCGGCGACCGCCCTCAAAACGCGTCCAAATAACTGAAAACCAATGTTCGCGATCGCGGTTCATTTATCACCTACAACTACTGTGTTTTACGATAGAATAATTCTTCTCTAAGATAATTAATTACATTCTGGGTTAACATATTTCCAACTGTTTCTTATTTTTGAATAACAGAATGAAAAATGATGCCAAAATGAGGCAAGTTGTGTGCTCGTTACGAAAGGATACTCTTCTTATTCAATGAATTATATTCGTGAATCTTCAAGATGTCACATGTAGTAGGTACGATGCCACATATAGCTACTATTAGATTTGCCGCACTGTACACATCATTCCCTTTTCAGTAAATGCAATTGATAATCTTCTCTTGTTCATTCAATTATTAATTTTGCGTTTAGTGCTCCAGATGTCAATGGATCACACAACACTAGCTAATGAAATTTCTTGTTTCAACCACGTAATAATTTAAAGTTATAAACGAAAACTATCATTGCTGGCGTACCCCCGCAAGAAAAACTTAGAAGGAAAAACAAAGTCCTTAAAATTAAGCAAATATCCTATTTAACATTTGAGGACAAGGAAATCTTAGTTTACATACTTCCTTTTGCACTTTTTTTTAGTGTGCACTTATGTTTTGCTGCTGAAAACATGCTTTTTGTCAATTAAAACGAAAGAAAATTTAGACCATTAGAATAAGAAGGAAAATTAATAACACCATAATATAGGGACAAAAGTTGAAAGCATGATTTTTCAATTACCTCAAGATTTCTAAAAGAAAAAGAACAGGAACATATACTAAAGTTTCAAATCACTGAGTTTAAGGATTCACCTCCTTAATAAATAATGGATATTTGCACAATTCTTTTGTTTTAATGCAGTGTTTAAAAATGCACTAATTCATTTTTAAAGTTATATGAACTAGACATTGAATGATCTTGTTTACTTCATCCACGTATCAATTACGAATTAAGTAAATTTACTTCTCCTTGATATCCATCAAAAACACCGTAAATAAAAAATATGAATATGAAAATAGCAGGAAAGTGATATCAAGTATTTAACTTCCAAGAGCTACGGGGACGACAGTACCGTCAATGAAATATGTAGCAAACAGATCTGTAAACGTCCACGTGCCGTAAAGTGTTAAAGCGATTATTAACTTTCGTAACGGGCCACGTACTCATTGGACAGGTGAAGATAATGTCTGGGTCTCGCTCGCGTAGTCTTCATTTGCATCCCGCTCTTACGAGTTCTGACATCACAGAACGACGTTTACGGCCAGGGCCCTGACACTGATTCGCTCCAGGAAATGCATGAGACGATATTGAAAAGAGAGACTAAACCTTAGATAGAAGTCACCAGCGACGTCGTTCAATGTCCGTACATCGCGAAAAATAATTAATGCGTCAGTGGAACACACTGTTAAATATGTGATCCAATGACATCTGGAGCACTAACCGCAAAATTAAGAGTTGAATGAACAATATTAAGAGAAGATAATCAATTGCATTTACTGAAAAGGGAATGATGTGTACAGTGCGGCAAATCTAATAGTAGCTATATGTGACATCGTACCTACTACATGTGATATCTTGAATATTTACGAATATAATTCATTGAATAAGAAGAGTATCCCTTCGTAACGAATCTACAACTTTCCTCAACTTGACATTATTTTTCATTCTGTTATTAAAAAGTAAGAAACAGTTGGAAATATGTTAACCCATGATGTAATTAATTATCTTAGACAAGAATTTTGGTACTAATAATAACAAGTAGATTTTATGAACTACCAAGAAACTCATTGGATAATAAAGTGTCTCTTCGACTTTTACTCTAAAGTGAAGGAGGCACTTATCATAACCAATTAAAAAAGACATAATACATTCAAAAATGCATATACAAAGAGAATTTCATTTTAGATTTGTTAAGAACTTAATGGTACTCTATAATTAATTAATAACAGATTGAGGAAAACAAAAATAATGGGAAAATATTCTGCAGTTTTTAAAACGAGTAAACGGTTGTCTAGGAAATTTAATGTAACCGGGTTTTCCAGATGCATTTCATTAGTTCCACAGCGTGCAGGGAGGACAACGGGCACTAAGGCAGTGACATCGCTCGCAACTTAACTAAGACATAGAAAACAAGTTACGTAAGGCTTGTTCAATAGGTTTACTTACACCGAACGTACAAACATCCATTCATCTCGGCAAGTGCTCCGAAGCGAACATCCGGGTCATATATCCCAGGCACAGGGGCTTAGTGCTTACGAGCACAAAGCCACGACATAGGAGAAGCGGATCTTCCTCAGCCGTAATGCACTGGGAAGTTACGAATGTGTGATGTACCAATTTTATATCTTAACCAGACCATAAAAGGGCAACAAGTAAATCAGCAAGGATAATGGTATTAAATATTTCCTCATAATTGATAAAACTATCCGTGAATGTAAGATGTTGATTCTCAGGTTTTATTTTATTTTGATTCTATACATCTAAAATTTCATTTATTTTTTAATTTTAATATAACCTAAAACAACATACTTAAATCCTGTATAGCATGGAAATACCTAATGTGAAGGCACAAGAGAAGTGGCAGTGTTATTTATCAGTATGTGAGCAAATACGTTCAGAAAACAAGGAATGTTTACTAGTAAATACTTCATTAAAACAGCCTTCAACGGAGCCTGAAAATGCAGAAAAACACTTCGTCTTTGGACACGAAATAAACCCCCCGCTTACTTTGATACCGCTTTTCTGCCAAATTAAAGTTTTTGAGAGGTTTACTTTTCTTGCGTACAAACAGTGTGAATTATGCGACTTAAAATATCCATATTCGCTGAATTGAGAAAATGAAAATGTGCTGGTCGTGTTCTTTACAATGGGAGAGAAGCCTTAGAATTCTAAGAAAATCGCAGATATGAAGCGTGCACTCCTTGCATCCCATGCATAGAACACAATTTTTCCGCATTGAAGCGGAGTCGATGGAGGCGATTAAAGTCAATGACGTAACAGATGAAAAGAGACAACCCCATTATTCGGCAGAAATGCATTAAAAGCTAGTTGATACCAGTATTCAACAAGGCCAACTCAAAACAATCTTCATATTAAACTGAATTTAAGCGAATGTTTTTACTTTGAAGCATATTCTACTATATGAAATTATCCAGTTGACGAATCCATTTGTTTAAAAAATATTGTAGTATTTTTTCTAATGAAAATATTTTTAAAGGGCCCATTTGAATAGATTTTTCGATTTGAATAATTGCAGATCAGAGGACTTTAAATGTTCAGAGTATTATTCCGTAATTCCGGTAATTGTTGATGAGGTCGGGGTGGTAAGAAATAAAAAAAACTCTCGATTGGTCTTAAATAGACGTTTTGAATAGTTCTTTACAGAGTTTGGTGTCAACTCCACATGATATCAATTTTCCTCCTGCTACAAAAAGTATCAGTGGTTTAAAAGTGTTCATTGGTTTAAAATATTCTTTACATGTTCTGAATTCTTCGTACTTTAAGAATGTCTAATATTATTTAAAAATCTTTTTAAGCAGCGCCACTTTATTAACTGAAAATGGTCCGTAAAAATGTCCCAAATGAAAAAATAGAAACAAAAAAATTACACATTCTAGGTTATTCAAATAGTTTTCTGCAAGTCGAGAAATACATTCGGTATTCTCGTTTCGTGCGTTTACCATGAACAGCATTCTCCTAATTTGTAACACATTAGAAACTGGTCACTGGTGTGAAAAATGCGCTAATGACAATGGACGTAGTTTCTTGAGAGGGGTTATTTGCCGCAACATCCGTCACGTTGATTACATCATGACTATCATCATAATACGATTAAGATCTAACGGTGCTGTTGGTAGTCGCGACTTGTCGGTTACATCGCTAGTAAATTTAAAGATAATAGGGCACTCCACATTTTTGTAAATATAATGAACCCTTTTTTAGATTCAATTTTAGCTAGTTTTTTGTCCAATAACATACTGTAGGAAACGAAAAATGCCGTTCAACATGAGAAAAATTCTGTTACTTGTAATAAAAAGTCTACTTTTAATTTTTATATATGAAAAATAAGAGAAGTATTAAAATAATTTCAAAAAATCACGCACGCCTTTAAAATAATTAAATGAAAAAACAATGGTTGGAATAAAAACAAATTCGGAACGACGAATAGAGTCACGCTGAAAGCTATTCGTAGGTTAACAAGCAGTCAAACCCTGCCAAAAGCAATTTATCATACTACTTCTATTTACACATTGTGATTTACTGTAATATCTCATTAAAACAAAATATAAAAATTGTAACTCACAGAAGGGACCCTCTCTCTCTTTGAAATGCTTCACTTACCTAGAACAAGAAAAACAACAACAATTTAATAACTTTTTATATATACATTCTAGTACACAAACAACCCAACACACACACAGACACACACACACACACACATACATGATAGACTAAAAGTCCCGCAACGATCAAATATCTTAGGAAAAAAGTGTGCGAGTGAAAAATAAAAAAAATACGTATTTAATAATTTTCCAAACTCTATTTAATTGCACCGAACATGACCCCCCAAACCCACCGCCTGGGGGTGAGGCGGGGACAACTTCGAAATGGTAAATGGAAACCCTCATTTTTTATTACAGATTTGGATTCGACTTTACCGTTTCCATAATTTTCTTAGGATGGAACAAGGAAAGATCGCGCGCGGTTCGTGGCCCGTTTGTTAGGGTTCTGCTCCGAAATTCGCGTGGTGTTGCTCGGAGACACCACGGAAAAATACCGATCAGAGCAGCGGACCGCTAGAATTCTCCCCCAGACAAGAGACTGTATACGAGCTAGCTATGTAGGTATACAGTACAGAAAATTCTGCCTCTAGGGGGAGCAGAACCCTAGGCCAGTCCTGTCACAGACAGTGTCAGTGTCAGTGTCAGTGTCAGTGTCAGTGTCAGTGTCAGTGTCAGTGTCAGTGTCAGTGTCAGTGTCGTCAGTTGATGCTCTAGGCCATCTCACCCTGTGAACTGAATGGAACGTTCCGCATGTTGCAGGTGCGTCAATTCTACTTCGGCACGGCGCCGCTGCGCGCCGCGCCGCTCGCCAACCTGACGGCGCTCTTCACCGACATGTACTTCACGGTGGAGACGGTGGCGGGGGCGGCGGCGCACGCGCGCGCCTCCAGGGCGCCCGTCTACTTCTACCGCTTCGCCCTGGACGGGCGCGTGAGCGAGCTGGTGCGCGCCGGGCTGGCCGGCGAGCCGCACGGCGTCATGCACGCCGACGACCTGCTCTACGCCGTCGGCCGGCAGTACCCGCCCGCGCTCGCCCCCGCCGACTGGCCCAACGCCACGGAGGTACCCGCCCCGCCCGCGCTCGCCACCGCTCTTAGTCTTAGACTTAATTAGCTTTTAAAATGCAATCTTCGTTTTACTGACCCAATGCCACAGGTGTGTCCTCATAAAGATAAACACGTCGATAAATCCATTCTTCTTCCGCAGAAAAGCTTTAAATAACTGATGTAAAAAGCTCAACATAAAAATTTCAAAAACTGAAGTAGAACTCAGTAGAACAAGGGGCTATCCCACATAGATATAACTTTGAGAAAATGAAGGTTTTACCTGAATTTCCGTCATAGCTAAATACATTTTAAAACTTTTAAGCACAGTACACTTGCATATAAGTCCATGTTGGATTTAAACAACATTACACTAAAAGAATAATATTTGAAGTTTTGTACAAAGCCAATTTCACAAAAAAGTAGGATAGTCCCTGGTTTTACTGAGCTCGTCAATTGTGTTAGTTTTTTTTAAAAATACAATCATTATGCAGGCCCAATGTTAGAGATGTGTCCACTTAACGATAAATACGTTCATAAATCTATTCATCCCCCGCAGAAAGGCTCAACATAAATTTTTAAATAATTATCTTAATTATATTTTTAAAATACAAACAGCTGCCCTATTTTCACAGAGGTGCATCCACGTACAGACTGTACCGATTTCTTGCTAATTCAGCTCTTTCAACATAATACTTTAAACAATCTTCCACAGATTGTCTTAAAAATAAAATAATCATATTTGGCTCTAAATACTTTCATTTTAAGAGCAGTATCTAGTACGTAAAAACAGTGCTAAGTAGAAAACAATCGTTAAACCAACCATAAGTGGCTCTGGCATTGCGATGCGTTGTCGCCACCCACTACCACTTATATGATACCACCTACACGGTGAATGAAATATCATAACATTAACACTCAGTGACAGTTAACACCTCAAGACAAGTGTTGAGGTGTATAGCCAAAGCCGTGTCGGAACCTTATCGCCCCTCACACCCGCGTGTCTTCGGAGACTCATTTCATTTGAACTTACACTGGTTAAGACAGCTGTGTGCTTCTCAAGTGACTTCTTATTTGTCGAACGAGCAGCAACATTAATCTAGGACTACAACGTAAACAAAACCACATAGAGCGATTGCTTCAGAGCAGATCACATGACGCAGGTCACGTGGCAAAAGGATTCTCAGAAGCGTTTACTGCCTGACGGAACAGTAAGACCTCGGTTCTAGGTCTGGTGGAGGGGTAGAAAAGCTCACCCGGTTTCCTGAGCTTTTCATCCGTTCCATCCAAGTTAGTGTCAAAAGGGATGCGATAGGAAGTTGAGTGGGGAGGTACCAGGTCCCCACATTCGTCCTAGTGGTCCCCAGTTGAGTTCAGACTCGCGTTGGTAGTTGCTCCGACCCCGGAGGGATTAGTACAGATGTACAGGGATTAGTACAGATTAGCACAGTGGGAAGATTCCCACTGTGCCCTCATCAGTTCGTTTTCTTCAAAAGTCACATGCCCAGCTGCTCTTTCTGCAGACACTGAGATTCCTTGCCGCTCGAAATGCTGAATGATCCCATTTGTCGCGAAGTAAATTCGGCAATGAGAGAGAAATGTGTTTTTACACACTCCACTTTCTTTTTACATTTCACAACTTTCATTTTCTCGATTCCTTCCGATCCACTACAGATTTTCACTCTTTTTCCTTGTTAGCATTGGAATTTTTTCCAACCTGTTCTGTGAGATTCAGTCACACACATATGGTGTATCTAAAAAAAAGACTTTAAAACATGGTTTTTGAAATCTATTACAAAAATTAGAAATAAGATAAGAAAGCATCCTACAGCAACCACTGTTTTGATAAATTCGTCCACTGGCATTCCAGTATTTGAGGGAGGTCAAACCGGGGGACCCTCAACACCCGTGATCACCCAAACCGCACTGGCGAGTTTTTAAACGGTAGGCAGACTTAAGCCGAACTTCCTGCGGTCCAAACCACCGGTCATCTGACCATTCCCTAAGGCACGCACGTTCCCGGAGACCGGTTTATGAGTGGCTGCCTCAGAAAATACCACATTCAGACCATGATTAGATTCGTATTCTCGAATACAGTTACGGTGAATACACAGGAGCAATCCGTAACATTTTTATATTCATGAGGAAAATCTTCCACAGGTAATCGAGTTTTTATGGCAATTGTCACTATCGTCATGATGCTAACTGCACTGGTTGAAATATGACAATTAATATTGTGCATGTTCAATCATTTTACTAGATACATTTAGAAACGACTCATCATATTTATTATTGATCCTCATATTTAAAGAGTTAAGCGAAATTTTAGAACACAAGCTACTATGAAAATAATTATTGTTTCGCGTGCATTGCATGATGTATGATCTGTTCAAAATCTATGCGTCTCAAGAGTATGGAACGAAATCATACTCTCATCTGAGATGCAAATCAAGACGATATCTTTTGCAATCACATCTCACAATGAACTGCAAATTACTTATGAATATGCATGGACTATAATTCTTCAACGAAAGCTTATTCAAGTCGTTTATTATGCGCTACCTTCAGTAAATAAAATACCACAGAATACAGAACTGCGGCACAGGTCTCGCCACATTGTTGGAGTGCTGAATATTGAAAGGAATTCCAAATACATAAAACCACGGCGTTCACATGCCTCTAAGTAATAGATAGTTTTCGTTAGTTATAGATAGTATGACAGGAGGGACAACATCTGAAAAATCGAAAGTATCTATGACCCAATGCACTCAAAGCAGCACCCTTCAAATAACTGGAGATAGGTGCATACACGATTGTGAAAATTCGCGCAAGAGTAGTTGGTTGAGAGCATTGCTTCAACCGTAACTTAAGGTAATTACAGACAATATCCCCTCTATAGTTTTACGGCACCTACACCAGGTTTTGACAATACCCATATAACTAATCTGTTTCAAATCTACCTGCTCTGTTTTCGCCCAAGAACAATGATTTGATTGACATCATATTTGGGGAAAATATGGCAACTGTTTCATGACCATTGTTCGAGAGCTGAAAATTGAGGCCTTTGGTTGGTTGTTAGACTCTGATGATTCTACCACGACTGTTCAAAGAGTAATGACACATAAATCTAAAGGGTCAAACTCAGCAAACAAATACAAGCTGGAAAAATATCACAAAGTTGCTGGGCATCAGTTCGCCTGTAATTAACGTAAATGCTTACCTACAGTTAAAGTGAAAGGCGTTGACATATCAAACATTCAAATAGTCTTGGGAAACACATTACATCAATATTAATTTTCAAGTAAGACCTACTACATCAATCAAGTAGATTTCTCGGTTAATACTCTCAGGCAAATTTAAACCGTACAAAATGTATATGTTAGAACACACTGAAGTCTGATCTAACTAAACATTAGGCAAACAATTATAATTTCGAAAATAAGCACATGCAGATTCTAACATCATGGTTTTGCGAGCGCCATCGTCGGTCCAGCCGATTTCGCAAAAACTAATGACAGATATTTGCTGGTAAAGAACCATCCAAACCAAAAGTTTGCAAGCATTGTTGGAAACAATGGATGAAGCGTCAGGATTATTACATCAGTGACATATCTAACAGTTTGAGTTCTTCATCAGAACTGAATTTTATAACTTTTTTACATCATATTTAGAGCTCTCTTTGGAAACGTTTTAAGAGCATTTTATCGATCATTCTCAGCGATGTTTCAGGTCATGAATATCCGCCCCCTGGTACGACCTAACTCGTAATGCACAAATTCTCCCAATCCTCTTCCCCTATTCCCCTACCTTTATCTCATCCCCCCCCCATTTTTTTTACGTTGTGGAGTAGACGGGGCAATGCTGGTCCTCGCGGTCATGTCGAGTGAGGACCGAGTGGCGAGGTCGGCGCCGCCGATATCGCAGTTCCGCAGAGAGGACGACGCTGTCAGAGGATGCATTTCCTCGAGTTTCAACTTTTTCGTGTTGGATTTGTCGCATTGCGGTAGGCGAGGTATTCGATTACAAGTTTTCAGGCCGCAACCGACAGAAATTGGCTACCAGTGTTTTTACAGTTGAAAGATGAAACACAAGTGTGATGTGTGCATGTGTAACGTATTAGCCAGCGTGCCTCATGGCATCTATTTGGGGACGCTTGGTTGCGGATTAGTCTCGCCACAGGAAGTAGGGTTTTTCCGTAAAGGGAAGAACGCGGAGACGGGAGAGACAAGGCTTTGGGTGTCTTCCGGCTTATAGAAGCTTTTCACTGTTATAACAAGCGAGGGGGTGGCGTGACGTAGGAGGTCACGTGGGCCTCGCCTATATAACAGAGTGTACGGAGCCAGGGGGGGGGGGGGGGTTCTGGAGACGGTGGGAGAACCTCGTGCGTGTGCACAAAACTTGGCGCCACGACGGTGCATATGCGAGCCAGGCTCGCGAGGCTGGAGTCATTAGTTGACGAAGCCTGCGGACTTTATGTCCTTGGGTGACTACGGTCACGGGGGAGCGATGCTGTGTGCGTGCTCCGAGGTGAAGAGTGGTTGAGTGCCACGATTCACGCCGATTCTCAATCGGATAAGATCACTCCTGCGATCGAGGCAAACCAGCCGTTGGTGCGCCAGAACGGACTTTGTGTCCCAGCGTGACATCCGGTCACGGAAGCTAGGCTTTGTGCGCGCTTCAAAAGTAGGAGTGGCGAATGCCACAATCAAAACCATCTTCAATCGGGTTTTGGATCGCTCCCGCGATCAGGGGATAGTAGGTCTATCAGAGCTAGGGTTTAAGTAGATTATTAAGTGTATATATTTGTTTTGTTTTCTTGTTAATAAATATATTTGTTATACGAAAGCTCTGTGTCTGTGGTCGCTGTGAGTATCCATGACGTCACACATGTATGTATTTGTAACGTGTCTGCCAGGCGCTGGCCATCCAGCGGCTGACGCGCCTGTGGTACAACGTGGCGGCGCACGGTGCTCCTGCGCCCGACGGCGCGGGCGACGCGCTGCTGGGCGCCGCGTGGGCGCCGCTGGGTGGGGCCTCCGCCAAGGACTTCCGCTTCCTCGACTTCGACGCGCAGCTGCGCCCGGTCGAGGGCCCGCCCTTCGCGGACCGCATCGCGCTGTGGCAGCGCCTCGCGCAGGTCAGTGCCGCCCACGACGCTCCTCGGACCCGCGCGCGTTCCATTTACACCCTGCAGGAGACGCAGTGGCGCTTCAAGATCACCAGCTGGACGGAGAGGGGCACGCTGTCATCCAATTGGGAGCTCCGATTCCGAAACGTTTACGCGGAACGGAGCTCCCGATTGGATGTCAATGTCCCTCTCGCCTTCCAGCTCGTGACCTTGAAACGTAACTACGTTTAAATCGGATTATAGATTCTTGGGTGGCCGGGAGATGCCTAGGCTTAGTTGCCAGAGTTTCGGGCGTTATATCATCCATCCTCAGGGAGAAATGCCTAAGATAGTTGATTGGCATTTTGCCCTGAGGAAGGCCGCTATTTGACGGTAAAAACGTTGGCAACTGTGCCTAGCTTGCGCGTCTTAGCGTCTCCCGGACAGCCAAGAATCTATTGACTCCGAACCCTGAAGTCTACGCTTTGACTGAACCTGTAGGACAATCCGAATTGAGCGATATACTGTGGGTTGGGAGACGCCAATCTGCCTCAATTCATTGATATCCTTGAAAATGTCCACAATGGTTCAATTGTTATTATTTCTCATTGATTCATGAATGCTAGCTAGCGAAGCTACCGGATAAGAGAATATCCGATAGTTACAGTTGATCTAGTTGTCATATCTAGAGATTCTAGGCGCGGGCAATGCGTACGCCCCTGCCGGTGTTTTCGCGAAACTCTGGGTCTTGTGGGACGCGCCCTTCGACACGCATTCCCATGCGACTCCCATGAGACTCCTTCCCATCCACCGCAGTGGGCGACTCGCCCAAACAGAAGGCGTTTTATGAAATCATGCGATCTCAGCGGATGAAATAGAAGATGCCATCGCTAGCGAAATATGCCTTATAATTTAAGATCTAAGCGAGTTGACACGTATTCTGAGACACCCACTTCTGCCTTGCCCCGTACCTTGCCTAAGTATGCAAATCTCTGCCTATTGAAATCTGTTGTGCAGGAAAGAATAAAGAATAAACAATAAATTAAAAACCTGAATAAATGAAAAACAAATGAGGTTACCAACACGGCTTTGAGACTATGGTTGTCAAGTGTTAATCGAGTGTTCTCTGGCCAATTGTTCGTCTGATTTTAGATCTTTAGATGCCTACCATTTTAGTCGCCACCATGTGCAATGTTGATCCCACACGTGTTAAATTCCCCCTTAGGCTACGAACTAGCAGTTCAAATCACTACAACATGAGAGTGCATTCTGGGAGAGTTGAGTGGGAAAAGCTGTTTCTATAACGATTTCATGTGGCGTATTAATTGAGCTAAGGACTTCTAACCTTTTACTTGATTTCATAACTTCGTGCTTTTATTTTGCTTTAAATATTTTAGAAAATCTATATTTACGTAAGCACGGTTGTACATTTCGATATTAACGTAAAAATCAATCAAGAGAAATGTTAATAAAATTCCGTTTTTTGAATATCATTTATACAATACGTGCTATAGTTTATTCTTTCAAGAAATATATTTAAGAAACAAACTACATGCGATTGTTCGGGCACACGTGCCGCTCCTCATAGTTAGCGTCCGAACGGCCGCCAGAAAACATCTCTATAGGCTGCCCATTGTATTCTCCCCCTCCCATGTCTTAGTTCAGATTTCCCGCAGCACATGATCCTCACACAGTTCTTAAATGTCCCACTTTCAAATGGATAACCGAATCAGGATTCCGGTCACCGAATGACGCATCCATTCAACCTGATTGCTCTCCGATTGGCCGGCGTTTACATGCGCTGCCGTAACCAATACTTAGGATCCAAAATTAAGGCGATGTACTAGTTTCGTCACGTAACCGACGAAATCGTAATGAAAATAATTGACATCGCTAAAAAACGGGTTTGAAAGTTTCAAGTTTCGTCACAATCCATCGACAGGTTTGCACTTAGCAGGAGATGTCTACCAGCGGCCACTGAACGCAGAAGCTACCCACATTACCAAACGACTGCCGCCGCTGCCTCCGCCGCCGCCGCCCCCGCTACGGACAGCTTTGCCGCTACCCGATTCGGCTAGCCTACTGCTGACCAATCCCCTTCAACTGTCATCGCCTGATTTAAAAGCATGAAATGTAGGCGAAATCCAAATTCGGGGTCGGTGGCCAACGCAGACTTGCCAACGTACCTCCAGAACCATGTTAGATGCAACATTAAGTAGAATTATATTTTGCGAATCAACGGAATGGATTAAAATAAGATGGCAAGGCGTTATATTTGTGAGTGACGCTACATCCCTTGCTGACCCTTATTTAAACTGATTCCTTGTAACAGGGATGACAGTAAATGCATTTTACTACGCGATAAAAACATATTAATCCCAATTTATTGATTAAATACAACCTGTTCATTGTAACAAATTCCGCTACTCTACACTACAGTCTTCCTGATGTCGGACATTATCCCCCCTTTACTTTATACTTAAACTTACCTAAAAGTAACAAATATTGTTTTATTTAAACACTAGCAGAAGTACCCTCTGTTGTCCTGGTTCTGATTAAACATAATCATCCATTAGCAATGGAAATGTATGAGTTCTATGTGTAGTGTACCCTGCTCTTGTGCTCCCTGGCGAGACCTACCACCATTTCCCCTTTGCACCTTCGATGGTGCAGCGGTTTGCGAGTTGAACTCGCATCAAAGCGATGGATTGTTAATGGCGAAAAACTTCTTCAAATACTTTCTTTCAGAGAGGAAGTAAATGTGGTTGTCCCACGGTGTAGATTTACAGTATATAAACGATTCACAAGCCTAAAAGAAGCCTCTGAGTAAAATTAAAAATCGTCAGTGTCGTCGCCCGAGTGATACTTCCTTTCTCTGCCTGACGGTGAAAGGAGCATAGCGACATTTGCGTGATCAGGCTGAAGAACACGCCTGATGGCCTGAGCCTCGCCATGGAAAATAAGGAATTCATGTCAATGAGTTCTCTGTCCCGCCCAATGTAATCTGACCCGTTCCTCGCGCCCAGCTCCATCCTGTGCCGCCTCACCACGGTTTACACCCTCCCAGACAATTCTACCTTGTTTGATACGATTAGCGTTGTCAATGACAACATAATCGTTGTTATTAGCTACTGTAAACGGAATTGTTACATACTCCTGGGAAATTTCCAGTGAAAAAATTAACATTCGATCATTCAAAGGCCAACTGCGACATCGGAATGAACCAAAATGATTTTAGAAGGAACATTTTTACGAAAGTTAAGGAAGGTTTAATTATCTTTGATGGATTGCCTTGTATTTATGTATTCCTTGCAAACTGAAAGAGCGCGCACTTGAATTCACTTTAAGAGGCAAGGCTAGCGATAGAATTAGTTTTTACGTAATCCGATAAAGACAGTAACGTTTCTCATATTTGTGAGGTCATATGCACAAAATAATTAAAGATGTCATTGCCAACTATATTTTTTAATGCAATAGCAGCTTTCGATGGCTTAGCCATCATCATCAGTTGTCTGCTAGATCGAAGCCACAAAACGACTACCCGTTTTGTGGCTTCCATCTAGCAGACAACTGATGATGATGGCTAAGCCATCGAAAGCTGCTATTGCATTAAAAAATATTGTTGGCAATGACAACATCTTTAATTATTTTAAAAATGCCAAAGATATCACACCACAACACCTACATGTGCACAAAACTTATGATCCGAATGAAACGTTTGATTTATATAAAAGATCAAACACACATTCTTCTTTATAGAATATAAAATAATTATCGGAATAAAGAATTCTAAATTGTCAGCAAATACTCTACCTTTCAGCGAAAACACCATCAAAATCGGATTATCTTCGAGATTTACTAGGACAAATAGACAAAATTGTGAAAACAATTGAAAGGCTTAATCTGAGACGTAAATAACGATTATAAAAAGGAATATTATCTTGAAATGAAAAAAATGTTCTTAACTTTCACTTACATAAATTGTTGACGAATGTTTAATTAATTCAATGCCGTGATATTTTTACCGACTTAACGTATAAGTTGCGAATACCCAACTTGAGCCTCGTTGAAGATCCGCCAAATCTGGGTTAAAACGCAGCTAAACTTCCAGATCATTCGAAAGACTGGCAAATACAAGACAATGCTTTATTAGGATCAGCCCTCCTTTTGCGCAAAGCAGTGCGGAGGCACCGACAGTCCCTAGATGTGATCCTTAGGAAGCTGGTTGCAATCTGCAGTAGAGTATAAAATCAACAGACTCATAATAACATCTTTAGAGCATCCCAAGAATAAATAACAAGTCGGCCCCATGGCACAGACAGTTGCGGCAGCCGTCGTCTCCGCCGAGGAGGCTGCAGGTTCGAGTCCTGCGTAGACATGGTCATATTGGTGATTGTCCCTTCACCTATCATCATCATCATCATCCTATCTTCTCACAATTTACACTTCAAGGCATGACAACCTTTTCGTAATGAGAGTCACTGCTGAAAAGCTGATCCTGGAAGAATTACACACGTTAATCGTGTAACGTTGTTAGTAATGTCCTATACGCCAATAATAATAATAATAATAATAATAATAATAATAATAATAATAAAATTACATTTTATCTCATATTGAGTCCTTGGTGTATTTCCTTCCATTTGTCTCTTAATACGGGGCTTTCCTTTTGGAATCCGGCCCCTATCTGCAGGTTCCGCATGCGCGTCTGCCTTAGCGCTCACCGCCCACCGCAGAGCAGTCGGGCGCAGCTGGGCCGGGCCGGCCGCCCTGGGGCAGACGGCTCGCCACTTGCGCCTCGCCTCGCCGCTTCCTCGTGCTGCGGCCGACCGCTGGTCTCTTTGGCGAGCGTGCGATTTCTCTCGTGGGCTGGTTCGGATAATGCGCAGCTCCACTTTCGATTAACTTCGTTAGGTGGCCTACGCGCTTCGCCCGCGTGGGCGCGACGCTGTGCGCGCGACGGTGGCTGTGGAATCCTGGCTGACCTGGCGTCGCGAAGTACTGAGGGAGAATGTAGGCGTCGCGAAGTACTGAGGGAGAATGTAGGCGTCAGAAGATCAATTTCGAGGCGGTTTACCCACTAACTGACCGTTTTGGCAGAGTGTGAAGCTGTATAGCGTACACTTTATGATAGTATATTTGAATTCCAGTGCCAGTGCGAACCTCAACATTATGATCCTGCTTTATTGGAAATCGATGTTCCTCTACAATTATTGGAAATAATCACGCGACTTGCTTGCTACACGATACATGTCACGTGAAAACGATAAATGATATATATTCCCAACTATGACGGCAGAGAATGCTACTTATCTTAATCGTGGACAGGTCTAGTAGCAACACGACATAGCATTATGAGAATTTGCTGCCATAGTTGAGAACAACGTCCATTTATCATAGTCTCAGTACGAGCAAAACGCTTTTTTGTATTCAAATAATATGCAGGTCACGTCATAGCTTCTATAACCTGTACATCATAACAATATTTTACGAAATGCTACGCTAAATCTCTCTCGAATCAGGCGAACCCGACTCGGGAAGCCTCAACGATCTTCACATAGCGCCGCCCCCCTCCCCCGTAGAAAAAGCTAGACGATGCGCGAGCGTGGATGCAGAAGGCTGATGACGTTGTGGCAGAAGAAATACGGCTGTGGCGAAGGCGAAGACTGATCCGTACTAGGAACCTTACTGCTGTCTTGAAACTAATTTGTCTATGGTTTTGTTGGGAGGGTTGCCAACTTTTTAATTGACATCCTATGACCTTTTTCGAGGCTAATAGATTTTCATTGGCACTTGATTCGAAAGAAGTTTAGCAATTAAAATATTAGTGAGTGATGTGTTAAATGTGTTGTTGTAAATGTAAAAGTTGTTAGTCAATTTTAAGAACTACTTTTTTCCCGTTTAGAGTGAAGCATGTTGCATGTGGCATGATGTATGTTGCACGCATTAGTATTTCTTTCAGCTTTCATTTCGCTTTCGCTCACCTTCTTTATTAGAGCATTTTTCTTTCTCTTCAATGCGCTTACTTTGATTCAAGGATCTATCCGTTCTCACAGGAGCTCGAAAAATCCAAAACAGGAATTCTCAAAAATATTAAGCATCAAGAGAACTCATTCTATTTATTGAGAAAAAATATTTTAATTAAGTGTTTGGAAATTATTATGAAAGTAAAAATGACATCACATACGTATTACTTTGAAGCAATAGGATGACGACATTGCTACTTGCACCAGAATTGCTGAAGATATTTAATTAAAGTTCATTTTCTCAATAAATAGAATGAAGTACTTTATTTCCTAAAATCTTTGACATTTCCAGATTTCTGTAACTCCTAACACGTTACGAAATGAGTTTTCATAAATTTATTCTTCTTTCATTTAACCATTCGTTCCTAATGCAAACACAAACGACTCTGCTCAAGTAATTTTCATCAAACTGACAGTTGGCTATTAACTCTTCAAACGTTCTTTCGCTTCGTTAGTTCCCTTTTCTATGCGCGCTCTCAACGAGGTTTGTCCTCAGTTCGAAGCCATCGAGGACTTCGTGATGAGGAAGCCCACGGCGCCACATCGATGTTCCGATTTGGACGAGCGTTGCTCGTTCGGGCTGGAGATAGTCAAGAACCCTCTCCGCCTCCTCCACTTCTGCAACGAAGCGAGCGATAATGAAAGCTGCGAGTGAGTAAATAGAACGAGCCCCTCCCACAGCGAGTAGTCACCTTAGCGTGTAGTCCCAAAAAATAGTCTCCAATGTAGTTCTAACATGTCACTCACCTAACTTTCAATTATTGAATTATGGATTGATCCGTGATTCTGGACACGCCAACTCGTAAGGTCACGAATCCCGTAAGTATTGTGCATGTTTGTTTTTTGTTTTTTTTATATCGGGAGGGGGCGGTGATCTTCCCCCGCTGGATGGCGAGATCCAGCGTGGACCTCTCCGTCTGTTTGTGGTACAAAGGATTTCCCACTCGGGGGCACCGCCCAGGGACAAGCTCTAAGTTCCCCACTGGTCTCCTGACATGCGTGGTGTATGCAAGTGAGTGTGTAAGTAAGGAGTGATGATAGGACAAGGAAGAGGTAGGAAAGATCGCGCGCGGTCCGTGGCCCGTTTGTTGGGGTACTGCTCCGGCATTCTCCTGGTGTTGATCGGAGAAACCACGGAAAACGACCGATCAGAGCAGCTGGCAGCTAGAATTCTCCCCCAGAGAGTGGCTGAATTGGACCTCGCTATGAAGCTAGTGTCGAATATCCTGTCATTGTCGGGACTCGAACCCTCGTACCTCCCGATCATAGCCACTGCGGGGACATCAATTGATGCCCTGAGCCACCTAATTCAGTCCTAATTTTTAATAACATAATATTTTGTGAGACAGTGTCAATATTCTTTTTGGAATATCCTTCCCTGAACATAGATAACTAGTTTCTTCCCACTGTTCACCAAGTTCAATAGAACTTTTTATTAAAATCAATACAGCCATTCGCATGCACTGCACCGTCTTGTAATAGAGTTGACATTACTGAATCTGAAAAACTACATCTGTAATGTGTAAAAACGCAAATAGTTTTAAGTTCGAGGCGATTAAGAATGAGGACTGTAACGAACCATTTGCCGTTTAACACTGTAGAAAGTATGTTGACACAGTAACAACGAACACCTGCTAATGTAAGCAGGGTCTTCCGTATCAAGTGTCTTCGCTTTACAACTGTTTCTATCAACAGCTGCAAAACGTCCCGGCTCGTGTATCACATTCATTGCACAATATGCGTTTTCAGTTAGTAAGTTTCCCTTTCAAGGATGTGGATAACAGATGGAAATATTTGGAATTGTAATGAACATTTGATTTTCAAAAAAAGGACTTCATCGATAGATAGCTGAAGTTCTACCTATGAACTTTTGGTTCGTCTTCCAAATTTACATTGATTTTGTTGCTTCTCATATTTTTCTTTACCTCACACCTCACGTATTATTTTGCTACTTCCCCAATGACAGGGTAGAAATATTAAACGAGTAATTAAACGAAAAAAGGAAAAGAATTCATTACAAACACAAATGTTGTGAAAACGCCAAAATGTACTTTTACTTTAACAACAAAGAAAAAAACTTTCCGCTGGGCACAAATTTCGATTGACGGGCACCTTCATAACATCTGCATTTGTTGGGCACCCAATTACTAACTTTCCCTCCGCCATTCAACGTAATCGTTCACTCCCGGCGAGAGTCGATGCTCACAAAAGAGTTGAACGCATGGCATCAGTTAAACGTTGCAAGTCCCGAATTACTCCATCAATTGCTCATCAACTCGTTAATGGTGGGGTGAGATAATGAGATTTGGTTCTGGGTGCGTCAAATACTGAAGGCATCACATCTGTAAGTGTGGTGAATGTTAAATCACAGAAACTGACAGTGTTCCCCTGAAATTTGAACATGGGATCATGTTTGCTAGCCAGTTTTCTCCCTTCACCTCTTTCACCTACAAGGCCCCCCACTCGGGAGTCGCGGCCAGGTCAAAGTCTAGCTCCAAGTCTGGTCTCCCAACTTGCGATGTGATATAAATATACAAGTGTAAGTGTATGGGCTCGTAAGGAAGGAAAGATCGCGCGATCCATGGCCCGTTTATAGGTGTTCTTCTTCGGCATTCGCCTGGCAATACTCGGAGGATCCACAGAAAACTACCAACGGGAGCAGCCGGCCGATAGAAACCGCGCGGAGAAGAGAAGACAAGTTCATAGGGGGTCGCTTTTCTTTTGCCGTACTCCGCCCTCACTATTTTACTCCGCGATACATCTACACATACTCTACATTCTATAATTAGGATTCCAATTACATTTTACAGACGTATACTTGATACCTTCTTCGGGACAAAGTTTGTTAACAATACATTTAATTGGGTGCCGAGCTGCCGTAATCTGAGACACATGGCGTTCCTTATACTTCTTCCACGAGAGTCTTCTGCGTGCCCACCTGCCCCGCCGTGTCGGGTTCCCGCGCGTGTGTCGCGCAGAAAGGGTTTCCTCGCAGGGCGTGCGACCGCTGCCCATGTGCCGTGCCGTGCCGTGACACTCACGCCGCCGCCGGCGGCTGCTGACTCACGCGCGTGCGCGCAGCCCGGAAGCACGCTTGCGATGGCGGCGGCGGCGTCACTGCGGGAACCTGTTGTACACTCAGCGGTGGTGGGCTGGCCTAAAACTCTCAACACACCACGCCCACAGCGCATCAAAATGTGGCTGGGGTATCGTACAGGATGCAAGCAGGGTGAAAATATCGGAGATTCTAAAGAGTTGATAATCCTTATCTGAAAATGTGTCTATGTTCATTATTTGTGATTTTCATGTTTTCAAATCAAGGAATCCAAATAAAATAATCCCATGTACATCAAAGAAACCTAATCCAACGTACATCACGTAAAGTAACCCAGCAAGTCCATGCAAATCCAAGGAATTGGAAATGAGAACGTAGTTTGGGAGATACGGAGTGATCATTGATGGAATTGTACAAGTTGGAATGCTCACTAAGCTTGATGACAAACAAAGAGTAAACATTCTGGAATGGTCAATGGACAAGTATATGTGTATTATTCATCACCATTGAAGTTAGTATTAATTATAGAAAAACTTGGTTGTAGATGTGTTATTTTTAAACATCCTCCTCTGAAGAAAATTGCCCTCGTTGCAATCCCACTTTGCTTCATCAAGGAATCGCAATTTGAGGATGTTAGTGCCCGGATGAAAATTCTGATCGATTGTTTACGAGGCTTCCTTCAATCTTTTCCAAGAAGGTGATCGACCACCGAACTTTAAACTAAACAATAGGCCTTGAAGCACCGTGCCCTCAACTAATCGACCTTCGTGATCTCAGTTAGTGTTGCTGTCCTCAATAATGCCTGGGTGCGAATTGGCATCCCCTCCTTTTTTCCACAATGAAAATTCCAGCAGGAAGGGGAAGAATCAACAACTTGGAGAAGAAAAAAGGACATCGTTTAAGCTCCGCAGTCTGAATAAAACGTAAGATTAATCCTAGGAAATATTTGTTTTCGTATTTCCTTGATTTGAACAATTCAAAGTATAGAAATCATAAATGAGACGCCTAGGTGTGGATTAATAGTGTACTTGTCAGGGACATACAAATACTATTGCGTTATACTGTACTGTTATGTGGACAGAATCAACTAAACAGAGTAATGTAAAGCAGCTCCGTGTTGACCTACGTCCGTTAAAGATTTCAACATTCTGCTGTCTTAAGATCAAGTAAAACAAATTAGTTGCATATAAAAATAGTGCTTGAGTCCTTCTATTCAAGGAAAATGTACTACTTATATACTTGATTATTCGGGTAAGAAGGTTTTATTACGAAAAATATTGAACCACTTCCGGTCAACATCGACGAACGGACGAGCTACTTCAGCCAGAGAATCGACCACTGTAAGTCATCACCAATCTCTCGCATCTTCTCCCTCGACCGATTCGCTCGCTGAAGAACAGCGGAACGCCCTGCCGTGTCCCGGGCGTCATGAGTCAAGCGCAGGGGCGTGGTTTGCCCCGGAGGAACAATGGCGGCTCCCACGGCGCCAGCGCCGCGCCGCGCCACCTCGGCCAAAGCCCCCTCGACCGCCACGGCCCCCGCCGACGCCGGCGCCCACGCCGCGCGCGCTTTGGACGGTCGCGTGTCGCTTCTATTGTTCCCCACACGGGAAGGGGGGATTATAAACATATGATGCTTACCGGACAGCTTCAAGCGCGTAGGACTCAGTAGTACTTACTGTTAGAAGCATTTCCGGAAATAATGGTACATTTCACGGGCGCGCAACCTTTAACTCATATATTTTGTATCCAAAAGGGATTAATCAAATTGTGACTATAGAAAAGCCGAAAAAATTATGAACGAATGGAAAATTTAATCCTTTCCGCATAATTTAATATTTTCACAATTTTTTTCCTACTGCCAGTAAAACCCTTATTTTTCTCCCTGGTAAGCGAATAGAAAATACAAATCATTATCACACCCAATGTTGACCACAACGGATCTGAAAGTTAAAAAAAATATTTACTGCTTGTTTGGCATAATATACCTTTCAGGGGTTTCAATATATATTTTGCTGGCACAGACAGCACGGAAATTGGTCTTGAGGATGTGAATTTTCGTTAGAAGAATTCTACGAGTATCATTGCGTATTGGAGTTGCTGACAAGGAAACTCTCAAGAGCCAACGTGTTGGAATAGTCAATGGCCAAGTGGGTGCGTATATTGTTCACCGCCAAAGAAGTTAGCATGAAATGATATGAAAACCTGTTTTCACAACACCTTTAATAACACATAATGCTGGTCTTTTGGTTAACAGTATTTGAGGAGTCCCACAGGGATACCTTATGAAAAAGGCTGGAGAGTCCTAAGTAATTAATTAGTGTTTCTTTTTAAGGCTTTTACTTAATGTTTTCGGCAGTGGAACTAGTTAATGGCGCGTGTGGATTGTTTCTAACTCACGGTTGTTTCAGGGAGCCTAGCGGATACTGTACTATCTGAAAATAATGCCGTTTGGAATGGTAGCATATTTGCCTAGATTACATATTTGTGCACAAGACGGAGGAAGGCTGAAAATGCTTTTTTCTATGTATTCATTAACGTGTGAAATTTTGCGCTCTCTGTGAATTTACTTATTTCGAATAATCCATTGGGCACTTA